AGAAATATGTACGAATACAAACAAGGTAGAAAACAAAAGAGCTGTTTAAAAGAATGAAAAAAGTACAAAGTATGTCGAAATCAGAAGGAGAGTCAATGAAACAAAGGAAATGTTAATATGAGTTATCAAAAGAATTGAAAATGAAGAATTGTGCAAAGATAAAACTATTCTTCGAAAATAGGATTGGAAAAGTAGACAAAATGTATCATCAAAATAATACATTTAGAAAGGAAAATTTAACGAGTAATTTCATAAGAAGAAAAATTAATGAAAAAGATGCTCACTAGCAAAGGAAGAAATGAAAATGATGGAAGAGAATTAAGAAGACAATAAACTACATCCAACAACAAGATCCCTGATTGGGAGGGTTTGAGGAGCTTGGAATCGCCTCTTAATTACTATTTTCTAACTCCCACACGGACTTGGGTTTGTAACATCTGTTAGGGCGGATAGCTATGAAAATGTAGAAATACATTTTTATAGTGAAGGTGCCAGAAATACATTTTATAATAAATTGAAAGAAGAAGAAATAGAAAACAGAAAAAAGAATGAAAGTGTTCGTTGAATAAAAAATCAACGCAAAAGAAGTCACGAATGATAGTCAAAAAAGAAATAAAAAATAAAGAGACTGAATGCTAAAAATAATGTTAGTAGTTTCATGTCATGTGATTTTTGATATATGGTAATTCAGTTTTTTAGGATTGTACAGCGCCATTCTATGATATATTATGAAGGGCTGTATTCTTTTTAAAACCTAAAATATGCATTCACTTGAAGCCGTTATGATAATTGATCTATGAAAACGGTAGTTTATCGATAACACCTTAGACATTTCTTCGTCTTTGGTATGACGTTAAACTACATCCAACAGCAATGCCCCTGATAGGAAGGGTTTGAGAAGCGTGGAATCGCCTCTTAACTGCTATTTTTCTAAGGCCGACACTGACCCGGGTTTGTAGCATCTGTTAGGGTCCTCGGTATGGGCAAATAGTTCACCCCAATCTCGTATCAAAAAGCTATGAAAGTGTAGAAATACATTTTTATAGTGAAGATGCTAGAAATACATTTTATAGTAAAATAATTTACGGCAATACATTTTTGTAATGAAAATGATATTCGAACAATACATATTTGTAAGGAAAATACATTACCAGAAATACATTTATGTAGAATAAATTGCTAATTACCAAGAAAATTAAATATCAGCGTTATATGACTCATAAGGAGTCGATAAGCCGTTAAACCAACAAAACAAATTAGACATTTCTGAACGAGTCGGAGGCAATGTATGACATCCTTCTGAGAGTCTATCTCTAACGAGGTTATTTAAGGACCTGATTCAAGTTATCAGTGCAAAAATTCGTTTTTGTAGTATATTGCTCTGTTGAGCAGCCTACTATCTGTTTAGTTTTCTTCTGCTCTATAGCAAATATGTTATAATAAATCTATAATCGTATATATTTGATATATTTAATATTTATTAATTCCATATGCTGAAATTTTATGGTCGGTTCAAGGTCTGTAGTATCATTATTTTCCTTCCATTTACAGATCAAAGTTTCTGTTTGGGAAATGTTTATCGAAAGTCGCGCTTGCTGGAACACTTAATAAAGAATATGGATTTTTTTTGTTCAAATACATGACTCCAAATATGAACATCTATGCGAACAGCAGAGTCCCCTCACCTCATCATGAGTACATTGGCATATGAAGGGGGAAAATGAACGCTGCTTTCTATTAGAAGACTCGTTTTGGATGTGGTATGGAGTATTTGAATGTTCGCTGCCAATTTCTTCCTATCCGTGCTCATAACCAGTCTAGTGATTAAATACATTAACGGCTCCTATTTCTTTTTAGATGTACTCCTGAATAGATTTTAAATGAAACTGTTTTTGGTTTACGCAATGAGATAAAGACATTACGAGATTGCAAAATGCTTTCTAAATGATGAGAAAAGAACGTCCCTATTGAGGGGCATAGACTCATGTCAGGCCAACTTAGCAGGTATACTTACAATTATCTATTTGATTGGTATGTGATGTCCTAGTGTTTCTTGATGACATATATGTCATCATAGCACCCTTTACAAAACAATGAAGTTCTCGTAGAAAGGAAAAAAAAAGAAAAAGTCAAGAAGACTAAATGGGTTATCGAAAGAAAAAACGGATATGAAAAACAACGATGAATAAAATAAAAGCTTCAAAGAAGATATAAAAAAGAATGTAAAGAAAAGACAGTTTGAAGGAAAATTGATAACGCTAGCAAGAGAAAAGAAATTGAAAAAATAAGCATAAACAGATAAACAAGAAAAAAAAAAGTTCCATAGAATTAGAACAAGAAAACGTTGATACATAAATGAAATACTTATACGTATATATCTTGTTTTTATTCAGAGCTACGCCTTATCAAACCATAACTGATCACGGCTCTCCAAACCTTACTCTCCTTTATAATGTTAAGTAACGTTGACTCTTTTCTGCCATCTATTTGCAAAAAAATACCCAAAAAACTCTGTTTTTTTACGCAGTATATATTGCGGATTAATCTAAAATATTTCCTTTCAAATCCAAGTTCTTCTAATTCTAATAGACTTATTTTGGCCTTAGAACTTATAAGGCATTTTTATGCAATCTATGTAATATAAGTTTCGTATTCATATTGCTTGTTTTGAAACCCTTCTCCTTATAAAGATAGCATTGCTTGTTCCAGGGTCTTGAGCAAGAACACATCTATTACGCTACTTCCCGTCTAATACATTTACTGGCTTGTGTCAGCCATATTCTAATTTTCTACATACAAAGCGACAAAGCAAGTGCTATAACTCTGCTCTCATAAGTCGCCAATCAGGGGAGGTAACAATGTTTTGGTGGCTAAGGCGGTACTTCCACACCTGGCGCCACCAGCAACTTTGCCACCAGACAGGGTATTGTTTTTGTATAGACTTGTTAGTCTGTTGCGATTTTTTGCAATTGCAAGTCATATTTACAACGTTGAATTATTATTATCTAATTATAAGCTTAGTTATGTGGAACTTTTATTTATTTGTGCCATATACATTGAAAACATTGGCGATTGCCTGTTCTTTGTAGGTCTTAGTAAATTTTATTTTTTTGACCATCGCTCTTAAACCCTATTCCTCCTTTAATTTAAACAAGTTCGCTGCTTTCCTATGTCCCTCTTGAATTCAATATGCGGCGTGATTGTTTAATTTTCCGAGCACCCTTTCCTCATTATGCTTCCTAAAACGTCAACTGTCGCTTTCTCATGTTGAATATAAGTGTTATTTTTGCTTTACATTTCTCTAAAACAATGGAATTTTCACATGTTCCGTCGATGGTAATCCCAGCATCATTATGTAGAAAAACATTTCTGTTGCCTCAATTTTTTATCCATCTGTGACGAGATTGTCCATCATTCGTTACAATATAAGATGGCCGATAATACATAATAGTTAAGAACTCTTTTCTTCGTTTGTAACGAAATTACCCAGTTTCTAATCAAATTTTTGCTTAGCTTTATGGATCACCTTTCATTTTTTTTGATCGATCTCTCATTGTTATACACAATGATTTACTGGAAATCCCTATGAAGACCTAACTAAGATGGTCTTCCGTTATCTCACCACTGTTTTATACATATTCGTTTTTTCTTTTCTTCTTTTTTTTTTCTTTTGCGAGAAGACCAAATGTTGAGAGTCTTTCTATTTCTGATCTCTTTGATCCGTGCCGGTCTTAGTTCAGATTTTAATGTTGCACGTTCTATGTTATTATGCAAGACGGTTGCCCCCCCACCTCTGTTACCAACAGGAAATATAAGGGCAAACAATAAAACTAAAAGATTAAAACGAAAGAGAATAAGAATGAAATGAAGAAGAGGTATACAACAACAACAACCACCGCTGCTACTACTACTATTATTAATAATAATAATAATAATAATAACAATAATAATAATAATAGTAGTAGTAGTAAATTTCCTGATGCTAGACATGACATGGGCCACAAAGATTTTGATGTGAATTGATTGAAGTTGTTACCAATTTCATTTTATTAAACTAAAACTCTGTCATATGATGGGTATATTGATATGTTTGTACATGCATTCACCTCTTTCACCTATAAATAATAATAATAATAATAATAATAATAATAATAATAATAAAATAATAATAATTAATATCATAAACCCAATGTTGATAAAGTTAATACTCATCGATGGTTACGAGCATCTGGATTAAAGTCTGAAACTGAAGGCTTTATTCTTGCAAAAGCAAGACCAGAGTCTTTCACTAGTTTTCAGGCAAATATCATACATAATAATGGGATCCAAATGCAGGTTCTGTGACAAATACCAAGAAACAATAGACCATCTAATCTCAGGATGTTCTATACTTGTTAAATGAATATAAAAATCGTCACGATAGTCAATACTTACACTGGACAATGTGCAAACATTTGGAAAATGATGTCGAATTGTCAATCTGGGATTATACCATCCACACAGACAGAAAAATTGAAGCAAATTTATTGTCAAAAACCAGAAAAAAAATCGCCTACTAATTGATAATGCTTTCCAGCGGATTGTAACATTTTGAAAAACTATCAAAATAAAAGACCTGGAAATTGAAATAGAAAAAATGTGGAAATTGAAAACAAGAATAATACCAGTGGTAATAGGGCACTTGGAATTATAAAAAATGATTGAAAGAATCCTGTTTAAGAGACATACAGAAAATTGTCTTATTAAGTACAGCACACACACTAAGGAGAACTTTGTCTATGTAACACGCTAATCAAATCGGAGATAAAAAAAAAAAAAAAAAAAAATTAACATGAAATGTGGCCATAACAACACACCACGACCTGCCTTAGGTCTTTCCCACAGACTTGGTGACTAATAAATAATAATAAAGTAGTAATATTAGTAGTATCATTATAAGGGATAGCGCAGTGTCTGTCTCTATTCACTGGCGGGTTGGTTGGTTTTGTTAAACGGGTATG